TTTTTTTTTTAGTTAGAGTCTCACTCTGTCGCCCAGACTGGAGTGCAGTGGCCGCTCCCAGCCACCACAGCCTCGACCTGCTGGGCTCTGGTGATCCTTCTGCCTCAACCTTCCAAGTAGCTGAAATTACAGGCATGCGCTACCACGCCAGGCTGATTTTTTGATTTATTGTAGAGATGAGGTCTCGCTGCCCAGGCGGGTCTCAAACCCGCGGGCTCAGGCAATCCACTCACCTCAGCCTCCCAAAGGCGCGGATTACAGACCGAGCCCGGCTATGCTAGACATTTTAATAATGTTAGTATTTGCACAGCTGAAGGAAAGTACCCTGAGACTAGACATCATGAGGAACTCTACGAGTTTGCAAACCTAAAAAACATGAACTAGAAAAGAACCACAAATATTATAAGTAAAAAGAACCTCAACCAAAATAAATATAATGTTAGGATGCTAAATTCCAAAGGAAATTAATAAGATGCATATTGTAACAATTATTCTGATAACTCTCAACTCTACTTATTTTTTTATGTGGATATCAATGCAGAGATATTCAGAGATAGAAAAATAGAGATTTCTACACAATATAGTGAAAAGACAAAAGGCTTTGGATCAGACAGAACAAATTTTTTATTCTATCTTTTAACTTTCAAGTATGGTGCTTTGGGAGTTGTACTTAATCTCTCAGAACCTCAGTTTCCTCATCTGTAATACAGGGCTCACCACACCTAGCAAATAAACTCAAGGTGGTTGTAATGTTTCTTCTTTCCACTCTTAGGCATTTACTGTAATGAGACCAGTTGTGATGTCCCACATCCTGTTCCTATTCTGCCTTTTATATGGCTTTTTAAGGTCAGTTTGTAGGCTGGACCCTCTTCAAAATAGGAAAATGGAAACCATGGAAGATGTGGCAAGCCAAACAGGCAACAGGAAGAAAGCATGGGATATTCTGCACAAACTGAAGTCCGTGCTTCAATAGACAACCTCACCAGAGGTAAGTTGTTTATACCATGTCTGTTATCCTTTCAAACAGATTCTTTCCTCCCAGAGTTAGCACCACAAAACTAAGGCCTTGAAGACTAGTAAGGAACTAATTGTTCTCAGATTCGTCACTCAGCACCGGTCTGGCAGCTTCCTGTTTGGGTTATGCATGCCTCAATCTAGAGCCTAGCCTCAGTAATAGCAATGTGTTGTCCTCCCACCTGGCAAACAGCAAGTTCCCACATTCTGCCTCCACACCCCAGTGCTGCCCTGATCTCTAACTGCCCACAGCCACCAATATAGACTGTAAATGAGACAAGGAGAAACACAGAATTGAAAAACAAGTGCTCAGTTAGAGGAAGAGCAATGTAGACTTTGTTTACCAGTTGGCTGAAGTGCTCATGTTTACCACGGGCTGAATAAGGTTGTCGTTCATGGGTCCTCATCTTGTGGAATTTTGTTAGGTAGTATTATGGCAGCAAAAAGTCACCTTATTTAATCTTTGTTCCCCTCTCTTTTGGCAAGTGGTGAAGGAGCGGAAAATGCAACTGTGGCCTGCCCCAGCAGTAGAAATAGTTTGGCTACAACTATTGGGTACAACTGGGGGATTGAAAATCTCTGTCAAAAACTTCTTCCTCACTAGCTTCCCAAGGCCCAAGTTTCTACCTTCAGAATCCCTTATTTTTATTTTTGTTTTTTGCCTATAAGAAAAGATGTTTTGTCTTTAGCACCAGTTAGTTTAAACTTAGGGCCTTGAAGGAAAGGTAAGGTACTACCCTGTTTAAATTGGTTAGGAAGAAGCTTCAAGGATGGGAATGAATAATAGGACAGAGGCAGGAACTCAGTCTCTGGGGACAGGCGACACCCTTTTCTACTTTACAGTGTTTAAGGAGTTCTGGGTCATGGGAATGGGAGGGTGTGGGCTGAAGACAAAAGAAGATGACAATAGGACAAATTTGAGGGAATTTTAGTTTTGTCTATACCCAGTCTCTGAGCAGATGAAATAGAAATATGTTAACTGTGATTTGATTTAAAATGAAAAGGCATCGGCTTTCAGAATGGATCATCTGAGAATGCTTTAAAAAACCCCCACTAAACTTCTGTTTAAAGTTCAGTATTTGTGTCATGAAGCACACGGATAGCATGCACTGTCTGAAAAGTGATTCACACCAGTGATTTGCTATTTCTTCTTGTTTAGAATCAATAGTAACCCAGAAACCAGAAAGCTAGATGTGTACAAATGCACTTAAAAATTAAGGCAACACAGCTGGGCGTGGTGGCTCATGCTTGTAATCTCAGCACTTTGGGAGGCTGACGCAAAAGGATTGCTTGAGCTCAAGGGTTCGAGATCAGCCTGGGCAACAGGGCGAGACCTTGTCTCTATAATAAATCAAAAAATCAGCCGGGCACGGTGACGCATGCCTGTGGTTCCAGCTACTTGGAAGGCTGAGGTGGAAGTATCTTCTGAGCCCAGCAGGTCAGGGCTGTGGTGGCCGTGAGCGTGCTGCCATACTCCAACCTGAGTGACAAAGTAAAAATCTGTCTAAAAAAAAAACCAAACTTTTTTTAAGTATAAGGAATTTCTAAAATTGTCACATGTAAAATGTCTATGACTCTATATGATAGATACTGTAATTTCCATTTTACAGGTGAGAAAACTAAGAGTTTAAGAGACTTGACTGATAGCACACTATGATAAATGCTGAACCTAGGAATACTAGGGCATTCAGAGATCTTGAGAGGGAATTTAAATTTATTTGTTTTGAAAATGGTTTCTCATTGATACCTAATTAATAATTTCAATGCAAATGTTTACTTAGGTTATACAAAGGTTACCTTAAATCTACCATCTACAACCTTACACCTTCACTCCTATGATCAGGCACCAAAATATACAACCTATTTCAATATTATACAATACAACATCTCCCATAAATAGCCACTATTTTTCTATAGTCAAGTGACTGTTCATTTGAACTCCAAACTTATGCCAACATTCCACAGTTAATCTCTAACCCACTCATTTATTTATTCACTTAATGAATATTGAGTACTTACCATATACCAGACACAATTCCAGGTGCTGAAGATAGACAAAGTCCAAGCCATTGTGTTCTTCTTCTTTTAGTAGGAAAAGGAGACATCAGATAGATAGGTGATTAGATATACAGACAGACAGGCAGGCAGGCAGACAGGTAGATGGTTAGATATAGACAGATAGATAAAATAATATTGATACATTCTAATGGCAAAAGCTGAGGGTTGTCACTCAGTAACCATTACCTCCTTTGTCAGTAAGTTACTTCTGAATTTTAGTTGGGCACATGCCCACCCAGAATACAAACTATGTTTCCCAACCGCCCTTGAGTTATGTATGACTGTATCACTAAGTTCTCTCTGAGAGGATGTAAACAGAAGAGGAATGAGCAATATTAAAACATGTTCTGAAGGGAAGATAGTGTGCCTTTCTCACTACTTTTGTTCTTTTTCCTGCTGGCTGAAATATACACATGCTGACTAGAGCAGCCGAGTAGGCCAGAGGGGTCTGCATTTTAGGGATAATGGAGCAAAAAGTCAGAAGGTAACTGAACTCCTGATAATAATGTCAATCATGCAAATCCTTGATTACTTACCTTTAAACTAAGTTTACCTGTGAGAGAAACAACTTCCATCTTTTTAAGTTTCTTATTTGGTGGTTTTCTGTCACTTTCATTTAACTTTAATCTTAACTAACACAGTGAAAAATGAAGCAGCGTAAGGGACTCTAGTCCCTTACCCAGAGTGTGATATTTTAGACTGGGTGATTAGGAAAGGATTTTATGAGGAACTGATATCCGAACAGAGCTCTGAATGCATGAGGAAGTGAGCCATAGGTGGGAGAAAGCATGTTACAGGAAGTGGGAAATAGTAAAAGGAAAAGCCTGGAGATGGGAGTGTGCTTCTTGTCCAGAGGCCAGTAAGGAGGCCAACCTGAAAAGTAAGGCTTCCAAACCTCTTACCCTATCATTCCTCTAAACAAAAACCTGCACTCCAGACCTCGTAGACACTGGTCAACTTTGCAGGGAGTGGTCTCTATGAGATCTCTTCAGAAGCATAACCAAATTATGAGACTAAGCTTTTACTCAGCTTCAGGGCTCAACCTCTCATGGCCCTCTTCAAAATGCAGGCCCACTTCACTCTTTGAATATTACTCATTTTTCTGAACTTAGCATGAGTTTCATCTCACTCCTGCTTATGGGCTGGCTCTATTGATCCGCTCCACATTTCTTCCTTTCTTCTTGAGTCTCCATAGATATTGTTGTCCATACTGTACATTTTAATTATGAAAAATCTATCACTCTGTTATAATTCATGCATGCATCTCTTGCCATCTCAATTAAGATGTAGCATAAGAGCTACATCTTAAAAGTGTTAAAATCCCTTTACCTACTATTTCTTCAAACAGAAGGTCTTCAACAAAAACTTTCTGCATGTCCGATGAATGAACATTGCATTCAACCATCTCACAAACTAGAAACACAATGGAGAGAATCTGATCTTTCCCTGTTCCTCCCTTCGCCAGGAAGATATGAGTAGCTGAAGTATTTGGTGCTATATATAGTCAGTTGATGTCAGCTGAATGCCAGTCTCTTCAGAAAAGCTCAGTCCCCAGTTTGAGTCTGAGTAGGGACCATGCTGTCCCAGGTTCAAGGATAAAAACCATCGGGCCCAAGTGCCATCCATATTCCATCTCCAGAGGCTTCCTCCACAAATTGGGATTCATCCCTGCTAAAAAGCACAGTCTAACAGCAAGGTGAGTATACTGTTTCCTAAAATGTTTTATTAGTCAGTTGTGACTCATAAATGAGCATTATTTGCTTTAAAGGACAGCTGTCGCTAATATTAAAATGCTACCACCAAAGAGTTCTGGTTTAATCTGGTGCTGCTTCATTCTTAGAGTTTGCTGCAATTGATGTAGTATGATGCCGATATAAATGAAGGCCAGTAAGGAAACAATGACAGATTAAAATAAACTGTGGAAAAAAGAGAGGGAGGGAGAGGAAGTCAGCAATATCATTGTTTTTCACTGCCTGTGATCCCTGTACTAATGTACAGACAAGACTAAGTCTAAAACTCTTGAATATCATCCTCTATTCACTGTGACATTGCCGATCAATGTGAATAACATACTCTGTCACCAGACAAGGAATGCATATTAGTCTTTCAGTAGAAAGCAATAGTAAATTTTTAATAAAGAATAAAGATGTTCTCTTTCAAAAGGATGATTATAAAATGCTCCACATGAGTTCTTCACATTGTCTTAATAATATCCCTTTATTTTTAACAGGGAACAAAAATATGCTATCACATAATGCCATGGTGAAGCAGAGGAAGCAGCAAGCATCAGCCATCATGAAGGAAATCCATGCAAATGGTATCAGTAAAAATCCTTCATAGCACAAATGCAGATTCATCCTGACATTATTTAATATTTCATAATTTACTTTCTTTAAATCCTTGGTGCTTTGTCATAACAAACCTGGAGCTCTAGGGGGTGTGGAAAAGCCTATGGTAACTAATCCTTTTGTAGTCGTCCTTTCTCATTTGAAAGCTATTTTCAGAGGAACAACTGCTGTAAAAGGAATGAAACAATCTGACAGCTGATGTACATTCTGCTTGATTTGCCTTTCACATTATAAGTTAATATCACTCTTAATTTTTTTTTTTTTTTGAACTGGTCTCACACAATCTTGTCTTCATTGTCCATCCCACATGGTTCATCTTGATTTCTTTACCTGATATTACATAAATCATTTAAAAAGAGGGTCTATCACCTGTTTTTTTTTTTTTTTTTTTTTACAAAAGCTGCTGATTAAGTTGGAATTAATATTCATTGCTTATTTGCTTAGTCCCATATTCATTGCTTATTTGTTTAACCCTTAATATTTAGTAATTAACATAGCTAATTACATAGTTTGTGCGCAGAATCTACTTTTAATTGTAATTTTTGAGAAAATACAAAGTTCTTGTAATCTCAAAACATAAGACTAAAAAACTTTAATATATATGATATGCAAGATCATATTTCACTCCCTCCTTTTCTTTAAGTTCTGGGAAATAACTCTAGAAAGAAAAGCTTTATAATTTGCATTTTTAAAGGAAATTCAACTTTGTTCGCAAGCAAAGGAGAGCATCAATTTTAAAAGTTAAGAAGTAGAATATCCAGATCTTTTTAGGGGCTGATTTTAGCCATTCCAGATATATTTGTTTCAGATTATCTCCTTATTTCCCTTCTATTGACAAGGAATGCAGCCTTTCACCATAACAATATAGAGACCTAGAGGCTTGAGACTGGGAGCAGGATTGTATATGTTTTCATATCGCACCTTTTATAAAGCAAGCTGAACAGAACCAGTCAAATAATTTTAGATATCCCTGACACAATGTAGTCACATCTAAAGGGTCCTGTTAATAAGTTTTCTTTCCTATTTTCTGCAATACAAAATCATCATATTGAATTCGACGTGATTCCCACGTTTTACTATGATGTCAAATTAGTTTGGAATAAAATAATTCTGAACTAGATGTCAGATATGATTTTTGTACCAATCCAAAGTTCCACAATTCATGCTTCTTAAAAATTTTTGTGTCTTTGTATTTCCTGCTTCTTGTAATTTGCTCGAAATTGTTTTATCATTTTCCTGAGCAGTAAGGCAAAAATCAGACCATCATTTATGTTTGAGCCTAAATTACTTACCTTAAAGCAAGACTTTTGATAAGTTATCATTTTCTAATGGCACCATAATATATGTCAATCTTTCCATTTAATGTTTTCCCAGTGTAAATTATGTTTTGGAGCTCATCTCTGTGTTAGCCATGACATTGATCTATAAGGATAAGGATTTTGTCCCCCCTTTTTTTTTTTTGCAAACATAACTATTGTTTTTGTGAAATATAAAGGAAAAATACAATTATATCCTAAAGGGGGAGAACCTCAAAGCTACTGTCTTGTCATCAGTAAATCTTAGCCATATAAAGTCTGCTGAGTCCTCCCTTCCATGTCACTGGATGACTTCCAACCCCCTTAAGAGGAGTCACATGTTCTGCCCTCGTTTGGATGTCAAATATTCCAGATAACCCAGGGATAATCAGACTCTTTCTTAACTCATCCCAGATAAAATAGCTGTAGTACTTTATGAAGAAGTTCTCTTTATTTTGCTCTCTTATTTCCTCTGATATCTCATACGAAATGTGATTATTTGTGTACTGCATGGTGTTTAGAGGTCTGGATCTAGGGGAGTATAATTTTTCTAAGGATACAGAAATAAGATCTGGGCTTCAGAGAAACTTTTTTGGGGAATTATCCTCCACACTCTCAAACACCTTAAAGCAGAAAAAATTTAGATAATTTAAGATAAGGCATGCAACTATTTTTATCTTAATTATAAGACTAAATAAATCAAGTTTGGACTGGATTTTCCTTTATTAAAATGAATGGAGAAGGACATTTTGAAACCCCTTCTCCCATGCTTCCCTCCCCTTATGCATCAGGATTTTTTTCAGTATTAAAATTAATTTATTTTTTATTATCACCTTCCACAGACATTTAGCTTGGAGGAGAATAAAATGTGACAATGAATCAGCTAAACCTGTTGTCCTCTAAACATGAGGTAGAAATTCAGTCCAGTTCTTGTAGGGGAAAGAGACTATAACTGGTGAGTCTTTGAGATAAATCAGTAAATATAAATATATATATTATATATTTATAATATATAATATATAAGTATACGTATATATAAGTATATATACGTATACTTATATATATATAAGTATATATCAAAAAAAGGGAGAACTTTATACCTGAACACTCATTCCATCAGAAGGAGAAATAACCTCAAAGAATCACTAAAAAATTCTGTAGTTAGACTACAGCACTCACTTAGTAGAATGAGCTTTAAAAGAAAAAGGTAGATAACTCCCAGACCCTACTAACGACACTCCAAATTGTTACTCATTATAGATCCATTATGATTTGATGTCACATTATTTACTAGAAGCAAATGTACCGCACTCCCAAAAAAATAACTAATAAAAAACATCTCTAACATTAAAGCTGTCTACTTTCAAAATGGCTTTCCTTATCATCAGATCATCATCAGATTCACAATAGTAGAGCTGATTGTGAAGCTGTCTTGTGTTACTGTTGTGAGGCAAACATCTTTGCTTTATACAAAATTATCTCAGCCATAATTGCCACTATCTAACAGGTGCAACTATAAAAAATAAAAACACACACAAAATATTTTGCCATTACCTTTGTGTGAATTAGCTGTGGAGAAAAGAGAAGATGGCTCCTTGCTTAATATAAGATGACTCCTTGCCTATGATCCCTGTATAATTTATCCCTGAATCTATACATATTTTCTAATATTAATTATATTTTTATTTTGCTCAATAACTCATTTGAAAACTGAAGACTGAGGAAAAAAGAGACAAGGAAGGATAAAAGGATAGGAAGAAATAAACAGATGGAGAAAGAAATGGGGCAATCAGAATGGAACAAAGGAGAGGCACTCAATTGGCATAGAAGTAATGAGGAAAGGAATTGGGATTAAAATTACCTTTCGAAGAACTGGGGACCTGGGTGTATGATGGTTCCTGACTTTAAGCACAGATATTGCTGACAGTTTAGAATAAGAGCTTCATAAACAAGGAAGACTTCAGTGCCACACGAAGTCTGGTTAGTCACTCTACAGTTTTCTCACCTAGGCTCTGAAAGGGCTTTTTTGGTATGTTTTTTGTTTGCTTGTTTTTTCTCCTCATGACTGGGCAACAACTTTACCAGCACACAGAAGAGAACTGGGCAGATTATTTTTGTAATTTCAGGAAGAAAGTTTAGCTTTTGTGTTCTGAAAACAGGAAACCCAGGTTCTAAATGGAGCACTGTTCTTGATATGGTACCAGGAGCCCTGGGTTCCATACTAGAAATCAGATTTCTCATCAGAAAATAAGGAAGGCTGGTTTTGATGATACATCTCATTTTAAAATTCCATATTCCATTGCTGATACATTTCATTTCAAAATTCCATATTCCAATTTACTGAGCTATGTGCTAAAGTCAAACATCAATGTGTTTGAGTTTCTCCACCAGTAACAAAGGAAATGATAATATTGACATAAATTGTAAACACTCTTTGAAAAAGTACAAAGTCTAGAATTTCAGATGAAAGATTAGATGAAGACCTCTTTTTCTTTCTTGTATGAGTATATATATATATATTTTTTTTCTTTGTGAGTTGGAGTTTCACTAGGTCACCCAGACTGGAGTGCAGTGGCCGCTCCCGGCCACTGCAGCCTCAACCTACTGGGCTCTGGCAATCCTTCCGCCCCAGCCTTTCGAGTAGCCGGAATTACAGGCACGCGCTACCACGCTCAGCTGATTTTTTATTTATTGTAGAGATGAGGTCTTGCCAAGTTGCCTGGGCGGGTCTCGAACCTGCGGGCTCAGGCAATCCACTCACCTTAGCCTCCCAAAGGCACGGGATTACAGGCTGAGCCACCGAGTCTGGCTATGAACATATCTTAAACTGTAATTAACCAAATCTTCAGCAACAAGGTGAGCACACCAGAGAGACCTTTAATATCTTACATCAAATATAAAAAGTTTAGCGAAGAAAAATAACTTAATGGTTTAGTGTAAAATATTGGTAGTTTTCTTTCGTTTGGTTTAACTTTTCTGTGAAGTAACATTCCCTTACACCAAGAAAAAAAAAAACCAGTGCTATGACAGTTTGAAAATAGGTGTGCAGGTGTGAATTCATAGATTTTCTGAGTATCTACCCTTTAATAAGGTCCTCCAGAAAACTGTTACTAGAGAATTAGGCTAAATCATATTGTACACCAAAGTTAAACTTGCAGAGTTTAATTCTAGCTGTAGTATTCCATTATCCTAGTTTTCTATGATGCCTTTTTCACTCAAATATTCTTTAGACACATATCTTATAAGCAGTACTAGATTTTTCTCTTTGCATAATTCAATTTGTGCAATTCATTACATTGGTAATCTCATGTCTTAAATGTTTATAGACTTGCACAGCTAAGAGATTATTTTTTCTTTTTTTTATTTTCTTATTTTATTTTTTGAGTTGGAGTCTCACTCTGTCGCCCAGGCTGGAGTGCTGTGGCACGCTCATGGTTACCCTAGCATTGACCTGCTGGGCTTCAGCAATCCTTCCACCTCGGCCTTTCAAGTAGCTGGAACTACAGGCACATGCTACTATGCCCAGCGAATTATTTTTGATTGATTATAGAGACGAGGTCTCGCCAAGTTGCCCAGGCTGGTCTTGAACCTACAGATTCAGGCAATCCACTCGCCTTGGTCTCCCAAAGTGCTGGGAATGCAGGCTAAACCACTGATCCTGGCCAATAATTTTT